TTAGCCTGAGATGAAAGAAAAGATGGACAATCTGTCTTATAGAGTTAACACCCTGATTATATATAATATATATATATATATTATTCTTGTGATAGGCTCTATTTTTTTCGAAAGGATATCGAAACTGCTTTTCTCTTTTTTCCCTAGAAACTTGCTACTTTTGTTTCTCAGTGGTGCTTTTGGTAAAAGGTATAGAACGATTTTATGAAATTACAGAGACCTCATTACAAATTACATTGCTCCATCTTTTCCTGAACCCTGTTTTGTTTTATACCCAAAATTTGTTAAAGCATCCAAACCTTGCAACTATAGTCATGATTGTGTTGGCTGCTAGTGTTGGATAATGAGTGCTTTGTTCCCTTAATCTTTTGGTAGTTGTATCCTCTCCTTAGTCTGTGACAATTGAATTGTTTTAAGGTTTATGATTTAGATAATGTATGATATATCTGACACCTTAAGCATTGTATTTAAAGTTGTAGCCCTTATCTGGAATCTTGCTAGTTATGCATCTTAAATAGGGCCTATTTAGTTAGGTTAGTCTGAATTTACATTTTATTGCCTTAGTTATGTCATGAAAGTGAATATAGGGGGAAGTAACAACAGATTTTTTGGGAGGAGTGGGGGTGTTTGTGACAATTTAATTTAATTTTTTTGTTAAGTTCTGTGATTGAATGTTTGTTCTACAATTTGATGAAAGTATTTGGTTAGACTTTATACGTGAGAGCACTATTTGCCACTTAAAGTATGCAAAACTTAAATGGGAACTTCTGTTGCAGTCACGCACACTAAAACCCATGGAATCGGTCCTTACTTCTAATTTATTAGTTTTTCCCGCAAAGACTGGGGCCACCCCTTTTTCTTTAACTCTTGAGTGTTCATATAGTCTCAAATCTTGTTTTACTATGTGGTTGTTTGTCTATTTTCCTTGTCCATAATGATGCTTCTTTGTTTTCTTCCCAAATTTTATGCTTTTTGAGGAAATAGTACTAGTCTAGTTTCTGTGTATTTATGGTCCTTGTGCTCTGTCTAATCAGATATGGTTGCATAATATTTGAATCCCCTGTATTGGTATCTATCCAATTTTTGTCTATTTGCTTCTCATTAACTCACTTTATTATAAGATTTACCTTTTGTATGTGTAATTGTTGTTTGTGTGTGTTAAAAAGCTCCAGATGGTGTCCATCTCAGAGTGAGTTTTATCAGATATTTTGATATCTGTGCTTGATATCTGACTTTCACTAGTTAACGGATTTGTGGAAGCAATGAATATTTTACATTGTTCTAACTGAAGTTGGTTTTGTGAATTTGGCTGCGCTGTGCTGGGTGGTGGCAGGTGATGTGTACAGAATACCTTGAAGAAAGAGAAGAATTGATCCAAGCATTGCACAAGGACAGGAAATTCTTTGGTCTTCCCAACATAACCCAGGTGTTCTCTCTCTCTCTCTCTCTCTCTATAGTACACTACATCTTGTTGCTTCTGCTTTATTTCTGCATGAAGATAAATTCTCTCTCTATAGTACACTACATCTTGTTGCTTCTGCTTTATTTCTGCATGAAGATAAATTTTCTGAGCAATCACTTGTTCACTTTGGTTGTGTGACAGCTTTAACTTGTTTAATTTGTAGTTATATATATTTTATATTTATATGTATAAATATGATATATATTAAATAATAATGTGTTAATATATTTTTTTTATTTTTAAATATATATATTAATATATATATAATCATATAATATATTATATATATTATTTATATATTACTTAGAATCATATATATAATCATATATTATATATATTATTAGTATATATGATATATATTATATATGTTTTATATATTATATATGTTTTATCTTATTTATATATTAGTATATTACTTAGAATCAGATAACGGTGGCCAGAGAGAGAGTGAGAGACGAACTGCGAGAAGGCAAAAGACGAAGGAGACGATGACGATCGACAAGAAGGAGCAGATCTGCGAGATCGAGAGAGAGAGGCGAACTGCGAGAGACGATCTGCCAGAGAGACGATCTGTCAGAGACGATCTGCGAGAGCGAGAGAGAGAGACAATCTGCCAGAGAGAGAAGAAAAACGAAGCGAAGAAGGAGGACATACCTAGACGACTTTCAGGTTCTTCACTTTCTTTCTCCTCTTTCTCTCAGTTAGGGTTTTTGTTCATAGCCACCAACGATCCTATCTAGGACAGGATTGCGTTTCTCTCTCTACAGAAACGCGATTTTTACACGTTTCTTTCTAAGAAACGCGGAATCGCGTTTCTCACGGAGATTCGTCACCTGATTGCGCGATTCCTGCAACTAAGGTACAGAATACCTTGAAGAAAGAGAAGAATTGATCCAAGCATTGCACAAGGACAGGAAATTCTTTGGTCTTCCCAACATAACCCAGGTTCTCTCTCTCTCTATAGTACACTACATCTTGTTGCTCCTGCTTTATTTCTGCATGAAGATAAATTTTCTGAGCAATCACTTGTTCACTTTGGTTGTGTGACAGCTTTAACTTGTTTAATTTGTAGTTGGATACTAATTTCATTTGGTAGCTTTTATCGGTAGTTGTTCATTGTGATTGGTTGGACAACTTCCAAGAGTCTGGATCCTCTGCCGGGGCTTCTTGCGGGGTGCCAAAATGACGGTGGTTTATTTCTTTTTTTTTTTTTGCTTTCCGCCTGTTTCTTTGCACTTAGTTGAGAACCCTAACCCAACCAAGAGCAAGAACAGAGACGTTTAAGGAGGGCGGCAGCAGCGACGATTCTCACCCCACTCACATATCTCACTCCAACTCCGAGCCCTAGGTCCCTAAATCTCTGATCCTCCATAGACGACTGAAGGGAAGAACGAAGCACCAATAAACCAGCGAACCAAACACAGCCTCCACAGCCATTGTTGATTGGATTCTTCACTAGTAAGTTTTTTTTTTTTTTTTTTTTTATTCATTCCAACATTCATTCTCAGGTTCATTGCACTATTGATTTTTGTTTTGATTCATTCACTTCACTCCACTCCCTCACAGTTTGTTTTGATTTCCTTAAAAAAAAAATTGGGATTTTGTTTAAAATGGAGGTTGATTACAGTTTTAGTTATGATTTTCTAAAAAAATTAGGTTTTGTTATGATTGTCCCTTTTAAAAAAGGTAAGGTTCTGTTTTGATTCTCTCTCTCTCTCTCTCATTTTTCTTTCTTTTTTTTTTTTACAAAAAAGAAGGGTTTTGTTCTGATTTTCCTAAAAAGAGATTTCCAACATAATAAGATTTCTTAAACCACTAGAGGACATTGTTAACACCATCATTGGCAAAGAGTTTGGCCCCATTTGGGAATTGAGATCCTCTCCAGCCACTCTCTCATGCCTCCCTCCTTGCAACGGTCTAGATCGCTTTAGAAAAGATCCAACGGTCTAGATCACCCTATTAATAAAATAAATTTAATTTTTTATTTTTTAATAAAATGATCTGGACCGTTAGATCCTCTCTTGGGTGAATTTGGACCATTGCAAGGAGGGAGGGTAGTAGAGAGTGGCTGGAGAGGATCTCAATTCCCCATTTGGTGGTGCTAGTGAGTGCTTTTCAAACAATTTTTTACCCATCCAATCAAATCCCATATAATAAAAATAGTTGAAAATATAAAATATTTACAAATATTAATGTGAGAACCTGTATTTAATTAGTTTTATAAATGCATTATAAAATAAGAATAATAAATTAATTTATGTAGAGACTATTTAATAATAATAAATTTATTAATGTATAAATTAGTTAAAAACTATTCGAATTGTCTTCAACAAGAATATTGCTAAAAATAAATAATTTTGTGGATATTCAATGTTTTTCGCTAGTAAGTATTTTTGATGAAAATTTGACCTAATAATTATCTTTACTAAATACTTCGGTTGAAAACTTTATTTAATTGATTTTTAAGAAACTCATACAAAATACATAATTATATAAATTTATTATTCAATTAAAAAAAATGGTAGTAGGTGGCCTATAGGGGTGAGACAGTCCACCATTTGTGCTTTTGGATGCAAAGTTAGGAGTAGAGTGATGATTAATCTTGACCAAGAGAAATTCTAATGGGATATCTCCCATGTATGATAATTGCAAACTTGGCTTCTCAAACTTTCTATATCGGAGTGTTTAGTCTTTTTTACCTTTACTTGGTTGATCGAGTAAAGAAAAAAAAATAAAAAATAATTTGAAAGCAACGAAGTGCTACAAGGAAGAAGGATAGAGAAAGAAGGCCAAATTTTTTTACCATCTCACCCTCAAACCTTCATTGGAGTTCACTACAACAAGTTGGGTCATGAATGACAATTTTTTTGTCTCAAAAGAGCTAATTTCGTCACTATAGATATTTGTGACAAAATATTTTCGTCACCAGTTTCATCATTGAATGTTTGTCACTAAAAACCAACATGACGAAAAATAATTTCGTCACCAATGAAATTAATTCAGTGACGAAATTTTTTTTCACCAATAAAATAAGATTTTGTCGCCAAAAATTATCATTTTTGTCACCAAATAATTATTCAATACCATATTTATAATTTTAGTTGACGAATAAATTTGTCACAAATGTTGATCATTGATGAGGAAATAATTTCGTCACAGTAAGATGTAAAGGTGACGAAATTTTTCGTCTCCAAAAGTCATACATGGGTGACGAAATATATTTCGTCGCAAATATATTTATATACATGACGAAATATATTTCGTTACCAAACAACAAAATCAATGAAAACTTCTATATATACGCTGTAACAAATTTTGTCAAAAAAAATGTTTATTAATGACGAATAATCACTTTGTCATAATAACAAGTATAAATGACGAAACAAATTCGTCACTAAACCTGTTCCATATTTTTTATTTCGATTTCAATTATTATTTTACAAATATCCCTGCTCATATCCCAATAGCCTTTTAATTGTACTAAGAAATCACTAGCTATTATACATCACTCCACAAAAAAAAATCAATAAACAATTTACATTATAAATCAAAATATATCCATCAAACAACTTTAATAATATAAACCATTAAGTACAACAAAAAAACCACCAAAGCAAATCCCAAAATGAACTAATGTGAAATCCACAAAAAAAAAAATCAACACTCAATCTTGATTTGCAACTACAACTAAGTATCAGTTCACGAAACAAAATTCAACAGTCGATCTTCATTTGCAAGTATACTTCCAAACGTCATCAAAAACCAATCTGCAAAGAAAATAGACAAAGAAAACATTAATATATTATCAATTACATCTAAAGGGCTAGAGAATTTTTTTTTTTTTCCATACAATGAAGGCCAGAGCCATATTAAAAAAATTAATAATAATAAATTCATATAAAATAAAGTCATGATCATCGACTTGTTGGTATAAAAAATAGATATAAATTCAAGTAGTCAATTGAGTATTTCTAGTAGTTAACTTTGAGTATTTCAGTTGCAAATATTTAAATGCTTACCTGTATCTGTTCCTTGTTTCCAGCAGTAATGTTTGAGATTGTTCAACAGGCTTCTTTCTTGATGCTCTTATGATTGTGGGTTAACAGATTCAACAAGCAATAATTGGTCTATAATTTGAATTGAAGAAATAATAAATTTAAAATTTTGCATAGCTTGGGTTTGGGAAATAAATCGAAGAAAACAAATTGTTCTACCCAACCAAACACTTAACTTGTGAGTGAAAAAGTTGCATATCAAATTCAACATAAGCACATAAAAAGTTGAAATAGGCTCAATGCAAGACAGGAAAGGTAAGTTAGGAAGAAAGATTGAAATAGCACCTAAAAACTTAGGTTTCCATATTCAACCCCCTCCCCCTTCTAGAACACATTCACGCGCAATGTGTGCGTGTGAGAGAGAGAGAGCTGTCATTACCTGTCTGTAAAATAGAATGCTTCTTCAACACCATCACCATGCTGCACATCTATACCAATGTATAGAACACGTGGATGATATTTTAGAAGCTCCAAAATCCCCAAAACCAAGTCATTGATGTAACAAAAACCAGATGCCTCGCACTTCTTGGCATGATGTAGTCCACCAGCCTAATTTATGGCAATGTCACAAAGCTGATTGTTCAATCTACGCGCAGCATCTGCCAAAAAACTTCAATCCCTAGTCAAGGAAAACTTAATGCCACTCAAGTTTACATTACAATACCGTTTGATCATAATTTACCTATAGTTCCACCAGCATAAATTTGACAGAACTGAAACAGGTTTTCAAAGATACGGCAATCTTCTCCAAGATTATCTGAAAAGGTGAGGTGGACAAACAAAACTTGAAATTATTTGATAGTCAATAAAACTAAATATTAAACCAACATAGCACCAAACTCATCACTTGGTCCTATCCACCCAATTAATAGCACATTAATTCAGAGGCAGTGATGAAAGAACTAAAAATTATCATCAGAATCATAGTGAATAATTATTGCAGTCAGTCACTCAGGTATGGTAATCACACCCCAATTTAATAATTCCCACACCAGTAATTTGTTACGAAAGATTAGCTACAAGTTATCCACTTAGTCAACTTCCATTTACACCTGAACTTCACCAAGTTCTTAAAGTACATACCTTGATGCAAAATAACTAAGTCATTCTTTCACACAACTATGGAAACAATGTGTTCCCTTATAGATATTGTAACAAGGACACATATGGCAGTTCCCAACATCAAATATTTAACAAATTAACAGAATCAATTAATTTCACACAAAGATTTCACAAAATGAAAAATATATGAGAGATAAAATGTAATGCCCAACCTAATGTTTAACATGAATACTTTTCTATAAATAGAGATCACTGCTTATAGTTGTTAGATCAATAATGTTAACAGATGAGCAATACATTTAAACATGCATAGTTTATCATCGTTGATATTTGACCTTTCTCAGACCTGAATTACAGATACTACTACAGATATGGAATCTGATTCTAGAAACAAGCTCCCTGTGCTACAAACTACTGCAGTGCTTGCAGTTTCACCAAATTATATGGAATTAAGGAAGGTGAAATCAAGCAAGCATGTGAGAGCAATGCTATATATATATATATATAGAGAGAGAGAGAGGTGAGAATTGGAAGGTGAAGCGATAAATAATCAGTCGTAAAAAAATAGAGGCAAAAAGTTATTTTTCTAGTAGTGATATATATATATATATATATATATTTTTAACCGATGAAGCTTACCTTCGTAGAGAATTATCTCCATTTCGCTGAAGCTTCCTTAGTCACTGTCTCTAAAGTATAGTCAATTTGTCACTGTTCTGAATTGGAAATTCGTCAAACACCTCTCATCTGAAATAAAAGAGAAAACACTATGCTTCTCTGAGTAATGGCTTAATGAAAAACAAAAAGCAAATAATTAATTAGTTCAACCATCTAGAGAATGCTTAAGAAATTACTTGGAACCCCAAAGACATTTGCATTTGCAACCTACTAATGCCGAAATAGATGTTTCTCATGGTGATCACCCGCTAGCCATTAATGCAAAATGGACAAACCTTTGAAAAGAAGTTGAGTTCTTTCACAAAAATCATAAACTAAACTATGCAGCAAGCTGAATACCTTAATGTAATGCAACTACATGCCAACTTCATTTTATTCCCTTCTCCCCACATTTTCCCCATCCCTTTATATAATATAGACTTTTTTTTTTCTTTTCTTTTTTGGATAATTTTTTGATTGTAAACAAAGAAAATTTCATTAAAAAGGGGAAAAAAGAAAAAGAAAGAAGAAAAGAGGATCAAGTACAAGAGGAGGGGGACAAGAAGTACACTAAGAAAAAAGAAAAGGAAAAGAAAATAGACCTTTGCCATTATCACAATACTGATTGCTCAAAAGACAAAGGTTTTCTTCCTTTCTTCCAATATATCCCCACTTCCTCTTTCCTGAAAAATTAGTTGAAAAAGCTGTCACCATCAGGCAAAGGTATTCAATTGATTACCGAGAATGGAATTAATCCCACTAGGCACATCTAGAAGTAAACAAAGTGCCTCCCACTCAAGCTTTTCAAGGACCACGGACTCTAGAAAATTTACTAGGAATTGTAGGAAGATGAGTTCAAGTTCTTATGACATTGGACTTATCATTCCTCATTTGTTCTTCAGTCTCATCATCCATTTCACAGCATAGATTACTTTACCTTCAAAATAAATGGGTAAAAGAAAAACTTTAAATAGTAACAAAACTTGTACATAGAATTTTGCTTGTCATCAAATTGGAAGAGTTCAAATGGAGAATGTACTACTTACGATTACTACTATCATATTAAGTAGTTAAAATAGATGTCAACAATTAGTTTATCCTTGATTGACAAATAAGATGATATAGGGACCTATTAGGAGAATACAACAATTAGTTTATCCTTGATTGACAAATAAGATGATATAGGGACCTATTAGGAGAATACAACAATTAGTTTATCCTTGATTGACAAATAAGATGATATAGGGACCTATTAGGAGAATACAACAATTAGTTTATCCTTGATTGACAAATAAGATGATATAGGGACCTATTAGGAGAATACAACAATTAGTTTATCCTTGATTGACAAATAAGATGATATAGGGGCCTATTAGGAGAATAATTATAGGAGGCATTAGGAATTGTGGAACACACTTCACTGGGATTGGTGAGACATGAATAATAGAGAAGAACAATAAACGCAAGTAGTAGACCCTAAATAACTGACACAAAGGCTTGTTGAATTGTGTATATACTAGCGTATGCCCGTGCCTGAAGGCACGGTGTAAATAATGTTAGTTATAAGGGTTTATGAAAATTTCATGAATGGTTTGAATAAATGAGCATGTTTAATCTCATGGTTGAAATAGATCACACTGCATATTAGTATGCATTCAGCACATATAAATCTGAAAAGGACAACATGGTTTGGTTGGACTGAATTAAATTGCTAAAATAATTTACAGTCCAACTATTAATTCACTGCAACTTAAACAGGCAACACTCCTGGTACATTTGTATCAGTCAATAGTAAGAAAGTTACAACAACACAGCATACCATCCATACAACGACGCACTCAATTCTTTCAGAAGAAAAATATTTCAATATATTTTTTCAGTATCTTTATCAAAAAATAACACAAACTTTATAAATTTCAGCATGATACATATAAATTATAACTGTATTTTAATCTTAAAATTATTTAAACCGTGCCTTTAGGCACGGGCATACGCTAGTATGTTTTATAAAGATGCTTTGAGATATTACTTATCATCTCAAAAATAGATGTTATAAACAGATGATCATTATAAAGATGCTTTAAACATATTTTTATAAATAGATGTAATTTTGAACAGAAATAAGCTATTTGTTTTAAACATATTTTTATAAACATATGTAATTTTGAAAAATAAGCTATTTGTTTTTTTTTTTGATTTTGTAACCAATTTGTCTTTTAGTGAAAAAAAAACAAACAAAAAACCCAAAAAATTTGTTCCCAAACAGCGCCATAGTAGTACTCAGTGCTTCTACAGAGTATTGAGCCTAATCTAGCCTACCCATGCAATGCATGAGCCAGTACATGTTGAAGTTTCCCAGACAGAAAGCCAGAAAAGAGCTTCTAACTTGCCTTAGGCAGGTAACTCCAATTATTTTCGTCCAAGTAAGTTTGTTTTTCCTTGGCCATAAAAATGTTAATTTCCACAAAAATATTTTCCATCAAAACAAATGGAGCAAAGTTTACTCGAGACAGAACAAATGGGAAACTCTAAATGTATATGGCCTACAATTATTATTATTTTTTTAATATTTAGGACATACTAACGTGAACTGGGATTAAAATTTACACCTACCACTCTGTTGGCAGAGGCAAAGTTAATAGGTGATTGTGTTTGACATGTGGTGAATGCCTAATTAAGTTTCTATGAAAAGTAGCATGGTTCATCCTTTTAGTATCAACAACAATTTGTCGCAATGAATCATTCTTTATGGATGCAGAAACAAATAGAGATGTTGGTTGTTTGGTTGCTTTCAAATACTACTGAAGTCTGAAATCAATGTTATCTCAATAGCAGATCTTAGTTCAGTTAGCCATCATCTGCTTGATCTCAGTTATTATTTATCCAAATTATTAATTCAAGAGAAAATTAAACATATTTTTATAAACAGATGTGTATAAACAAATATGTAATTTTAAACATATTTTTATAAACAGATGCTCTTTATAAAGATGCTTTAAACATGTTTTATAAAAATGGATATTACATGGAGTGCAGTAATTTTTGAGCAGATGTTTAAAAATGAGCAGATGTAGAACCAAGAAGTTCTTAAACACTACCAAGGAATGATATAAATTTGCAATAGCACAACTTCAAAAGCCAAATGAACTATCAAGATTAACTAATGGCAAAGAACCACACCATAATTTGTATCCCCTCCTACATGTGAGCAACAATCATGCCCTGGATCAACTTCAAAACTAAAGTTCCATTTTGTTCGGTCAAGCCAATTTTTTTGTTAATAAAAATAAATAAATAAATCTTTTATTATTCAAGAAAACAAAATCTCAACAACAACTATAATAGATAAGCAAGAATTATAAGAAAACCAAACACTAATATCACCATTTGAGAAAACCACATAGTGATCCGGTAGATTGGCAGCAAATAAAATTTTCAGCATCAAGGACTTGGAAAAGTGAAGATGCACCATAATTTCAATTGCTGATGCATAATGGTGCGTTGATTATATTCATCACTTCAACTTTCTATTGCATATTAAAACTCATGCTTCATATGCTAAATGGTATATATATATAAAAAAAAAAATACTCTCAGCAATTCTGTTCCAAGAAAGAGATAGTGGATCAATGTACTTTTTCACTAATAGAAATGAACCCATATCCTAATGCTAAACAAAAATGCAACAGCAATAATAAGCAATAAATTTAGGGTTATTTAGTTATTAATAAAATAAGAAAACCAAACACTAATATCACCATTTGAGAAAACCACACAGTAACTATGATAGATAAGCAAGAATTTCATCCCAAACCTTACATTCAATCAACTAACTCCAAAGAATTCTGCTGAACTCAATTTACCCAGAAAATTGAATTAGAACTCTCTTTCCATCAACCAATCCCCATTGAATAGAAAAGAAGATTCACAGCAACTATGATAGATAAGCAAGAATTTCATCCCAAACCTTACATTCAATCAACTAACTCCAAAGAATTCTGCTGAACTCAATTTACCCAGAAAATTGAATTAGAACTCTCTTTCCATCAACCAATCCCCATTGAATAGAAAAGAAGATTCACAGCAACTATGATAGATAAGCAAGAATTTCATCCCAAACCTTAAATTCAATCAACTCACTTAAGAGATTCACATTAACTAATATAGTCCATAAAAATGTAAATCCCTATACTGAACTCAATTTACCCAGAAAATTGAATTAGAACTCTCTTTCCATCAACCAATCCCTATTGAATAGAAAAGAAGATTCACAGCAACTATGATAGATAAGCAAGAATTTCATCCCAAACCTTAAATTCAATCAACTAACTCCAAAGAATTCTGCTGAACTCAATTTACGCAGAAAATTGAATTAGAACTCTCTTTCCATCAACCAATCTCCATTGAATAGAAAAGAAAATTCACAGCAACTATGATAGATATGCAAGAATTTCATCCCAAACCTTACATTCAATCAACTAACTCCAAAGAATTCTGTAAGAGATTCACATTAACTAATATAGTCCATAAAAATGTAAATCCCTATACTGAACTCAATCCAGAAAATTGAATTAGAACTCTTTTTCTATCAACCAATCCCCATTGAATAGAAAAGAAAATTCACAGCAACTATGACCCAAAAGATACCCATGAAATGGACAGCTTTAAAAATGGATCCCAAACCTTAAATTCAATCAACTAACTCCAAAGAATTCTATAAGCGATTCACATTAACTAATATAGTCCATAAAAATGTAAATCCCTATACTGAACTAAATTTGCCCAGAAAATTGAATTAGAACTCTTTTTCCATCAACCAATCCCCATTAAATAGAAAAGAAAATTGACAGCAACTATGACCCAAAAGATAACCATGAAATGGACAGCTTAAAAAATAGAACAACCTCTCAGACCCATTCAAACAAACACTTTAATGGGTGTGAAGCCCTGGACTGAAAAAAAAGATTAGAATACCTCAGAACTATGAAATCGCAACCTGTGAACTATGAATCAGAACTATGATCGCAACCTCTGATCAGAACTATGAATCAGAACTATGATCGCAATCTCTGAAATTTCAAATGATGAAAATAAAAAGATTCAGAACTATTGTGATTCTGATTCTAAAGGGTGAGAAGAACAGTTGTGATAGAGATTGCCATACCTGACCTCTGAAATCACGACCTCTGAAATCGCAACCTCTGAACTATAATCAGAACTATGAACATTGTTCATATAAAAAGAGTAAAAAGATTAAAGTGGAATTGAATCAGTTTCTGCAAATCAGTTTGTACAATCTGATCCCATTTAATCTATTCTACAATCTGTTCTTGATCATTCAAAAAATACAACAGAGAGATGGAGGAGGACAAGAATACCTTGTGATGAAGAGGAGTGTCGCAAGAACAAACTGATGAGAACAGAGAAGGGAGAGGGATAAAGATAGAAGGCATGAGAGACTTGCGCAAGCGGGAAGGTGAGAAGAGAGAGATAAAGATAGAATAGAGGGGAGACGTGGGGAAGGAGGAGGCTGACTCGTTGGGCGGGAAGATATATATTTAGGATTGATATAAAATTAAGGGAGTCATCTCAGCCATCTATCTAAATAAGTAAATAAATCCTAGCCATTGAAATGTCCTAGTAGGACAGTTGTGTCTAACATATTTTCAAAATTCGTTCTGCTTTATTATATAGATATATTGTTTCTAGAATTATATACAAAAAAAATTCATTTTTCCTGTACTAGAATATTCAAGACAGAGGCACTTCAGATGAGAAGCCCGAGCGCATGGCATTGACATCACATTCCCCCTAACACTATGGAGCCACTAGCCCAGTAAGCCTCAAAATTTCAATGTTAAAAACCTTTGAGCTACAAGATCAAATATAAGACTATTTTAATTCACACCAAGAATTCTGTTATAGTCTGTGAACACAAAGGCGCTGAGGTAAAAAAGAAACAAGTAAGTTCCTATAAGATTAAAAGTTAATTTGGTAAGAAATAACATAAGTGAAC